GACCGCGTACTGTGGTACTAACCAGAATACACTGATCGGAGCAGTTACAGTTAACTTCCTTTTATGCTCAACCAGTGCAGCCAATACAATGGCTAGAACTTGGATCGCTAGCCCAATTCCGATCCTGTGTAGATATGTGAACCCTGATTGTTTGAATCGGCGAGATATAGGGACTATGACTTTATCATAGAGTGGAAGGGCGATGATCATCATTACAGTGGCGAAGATGGACATGGATGCTGCAGGGACTTGGAAACCGTTAGGTGTGAGATGGCGGTTCATCGCCTTTGCTTGAATTATTGCGAAGGAGTGGTTGTGGGAGGCTGCAGTCACAGTCAAGATCCCAACGGACCAAATTGGGATCAAGCGTATAACTGACTTCAGTTCTTCTACCCGGTGCACTGTCGATAGTCTCCAGAGCCTTGTCTTGCCAGAGTCAGTCATGTCGCCATCAGTAATGATTGCAGCTTGATCAAGGAACCTTGGCCAATCCATGAATGAATTTCCATGATGTAGGGATATCAGTTTCAGGGTATAATGTCAGCAAAACATTGCTGAAAGAAACAAGCCGAGTGTTGTCCATTTTACTGAAAGTAATAAGTTATCAAGGTTATGTAGTTGAGGGTCTGCTCATTATACAAATTTCATGAAATAAAACCGTGTTGAGATTCATCAGACTCGAGTTTTTGGATCCTGTTATTGTTTTCACATTTCTCTGCTAAAACAAACAAGCTAAATTTTGTCCATTTCACTGAAAACATGTTATCAATGTGGCCTATGGGTCTGCTCAATATGCAAAACTTCATGATGTTGAAATTCATCAAAATTGTGTTTTTATAGTTTGATCGTATTCCATTTTGCATGTATAAGTAAGTTAATGCCCTGTTCAACTCTAGGAAATTCCAATTCAACATTTCATGCTACTTGAGTATTGCTCGAGATGTGCACTCACCGAAGCTGTTCAGTATGGATAAGGCTCCCTCCAGTTGAAATATCAGCATCCAATTCCTTATCAACAAACAAAAGACTCGGGTCTTCAGGCTTCGCAATCTTCCTCTTCTTGAAAGCAGCAATCAATACTTGTGTCAACCGTGTCATCGGGCTCCCTGCAGGCTTAATTTTTATATACAGCGGATATCCAATCACAAACACAACAACCGACACGAACATCACCATGCTAGGAATCCCAAACCCCCATCCCCAACCAACATTGTCTTGGATATACACAACCAAAGTAAGGGCTAAGAGATGAGACACGCTCAATGCGAAGTAGTAGAGACTGAAATAGTTCCATTTCCTTGTGCTTGTTCGTGTCTTGTCGAGTTCAAATTGGTCTGCGCCGAATGTAACAACACAGGGTCTGATGCCTCCAGCGCCAATGCAGGTTAGGATGAGGGAGGAGTAGAGGACTAGGAGTTGGAATGTTGATGGACGGTGGCAAACGTCAGGTGGTGTGCACGGCGGTGGGCGGAGAGCAGGGAGGATAGCTGATATTGTGAGAGTGATCATTCCCTGTAAAATTAAGTTTTTTGATGTTGATAAGGCATCAGCCATAATATTGAGTGAATACTTTCGCTCTAACTGCAAAGCTTGTAAATGCAATTGCATGCAAATGAGACATTTTGGGACAATTCCATGATTCCGTCTTCTTGTTTCACGTACGACCAATAAATGCAGATGCAAAAGGCCCCCAGATGTGTGGAGCAGCGAGTTTTAAGTCGCGACTCAATTGCAACTACACTCGAATAGAATTCAAAAAGAAAATTTTAAAATTCTCATAGCTACTGGTACAACTGCATGCCACAACATTTACAGCAACTGCAGCTGCAGGGAACTGACATTTGCATTGTAATTGCGGTTGCAACATACCAGACAGACCTTAAATATGTAACTGTTTTTAAGATTGTACATGCGTACCAGCTGATAGATGAGCGAGCCAACGGTGATGGTCCAGAAACGGCCAG